GGATTTCGTTGTTGTTTGAAGCAGCAATGCTACAAAACGGGATGGATCTGTTAACTCGTCAAAATATGTTTCACTTTTATTGATCCATGTTTGGAAACACCAAAAGCTCGATAGAACCTACGAACTTAATAAAAGTCACTAATAGTCACCGTTTGAATTTGAAATGACAACCGTGTTCTTATTTTGTCTCGAATCATCTCATATCCCATAACCATTACTTTTTCTTCTATCATATATTAAGAGCATACACCTTGGGACGTCAAATCCTTGATGAAGCGTTCTATTCAAAAAATTGTGCCTGAATTTTGTCCACCAGACATTACGGTCAGTGCACGATTATTCAAGATTATGCAATTGTTGCAAAGATAAAAAGCCGGATTGCGATATCGAGTTGTCAGATTGCGGTAATTCGTTCGTTTAGTGTGGACTGTATTTCACCACTTCTGGTAATTGAATGCTTTGAGGAAAAGCAAGTTGTCGTATCTGGAACATATCATGTATTCGTTACACCACTTCCACGTGGCCTATATTTGTGTGGATGTTATTAAATCTATGACGATTGAACGCTTATTTATTTGAAGTAATACCTGTCTAAAACATTCTGGCTATGTGTTTAACTTATAAAGGATTTCCATGAGATTAATGTGTTTGGCTTCCTGTATTTATTTCATCTATTGTTTTTGTTTGGATCATACTCCATCTGGAGGCTCCTTCTGTACACGCCATACACAGTTCATTCATTCAACCACACACTCCTGGAACCCTGAAGCTGGCCACTGATGCATATTCATGTTGCTGTTTTAGTTCCTCATCTCGTGTAGACAGAATGCACCCAAATGTTCTCCTTGATTTGCATGCAATTTTGACTTCCTATAGCTGCAGCGCTAGCATTATTATTATTGTTGATAGGTGAACGTATTTAAGATCCAGATTCTGAACATTTAATGGGTTTTATGGCAAGAATCATCTCGCCCCGGTGTTTCTAACTCTTCAAAATATCGAAAAGTGTGCAATTTTAGTTGAAAGTTATAGGTGGTTGGCACTGAGGATTTTATTCGAATCAGCGGATCTAGGTAACATATTTATTTAAAATTCTCGACTATTTGATCTTGAAGCACTAATGTTTACAAACGTAACTGATCCAAACTTTTCCAATGAAAACAAGGTTTTGGAGGCTATAAAATTGTACGAGGGATGAGTACAAGCTTTCCGGATGCACAAAAAGTTTTATTTGTTACATTAAAATTAGCTCCACTTTTTCTCAGGGTATTCCCTACCAGCATTCATGTGCAGTTTTTATGCACTTAAACCATTTCGAAAAACCGTTCGAGATGCCGAAGCGGGTAACCTTTCGACTAGTTCAATGAAGGCCTCCTCTGTAGCTGTTGATGACTCGTGTCGGATTTCACGCATCATGCACTTGGCATTTGGGGACACAAAAATGTCACACGGAGCTAGGCCTGGACTGCATAGTGGGTGACCAACCAACTGGATGCGTTCTCTAGTCAGAAAATCGTCGACGACATTGGACCTCTATGCAGGTGGGTTTACATGGTGTAGCAAGGTCCCTTGGACAACGCCTGGCATCAAACCTCAGCACCTTCAGGAGATAACGGGTGGCGTACCGGTCACCGGTAAATATGCTTCTCTGTACGAGCGGTACAGTAGCCATATGATTGTTTTTGGCCATGAACACAGCGACCATCTGCCTTACCACAATGCTCCCTCGTCGGATTTTCTGAGGCGCACCTTACCAACCGGCACACACTGAGCCGATTGTTGCATACTCTCTGGGTCAAAACTGTAATCCGCTGGTGATCTCCCTAATTGTTTTGAGGTATTCACCATCAGACCTGGCAAGTATAGTGCGACAGCAACTTACGCAAACTGCTTTATGTTCCTCACTAAGCGCAAATCTTTCTGAGGCTAAGCTTCTCGTGTTGGATGATGCGAACTGATTCCGATGAAATCCCGTTGGCTTTCACTTGGTCTTGGTGTATCAAATAATGCAGGACCTGAATCACACATGTCGTTCATTCTTTGCCTTGTCGCCCTACACTCACCTGAGGGGCACTCATTCAATTTAGTCCTCCAAAAATGCCAACTAGAATGCCGGTGTCATTCATTCGCCCTCAGAGTGTGCACTACTTGAAATTCTCTATCAAAACAGGTTGTTTCTGCGCCCACAACTGATTCCTCCAGGCACAAACTGAATGAAGCTCTGACAAGTCTTAAATTCCAACATCTGTAGCAGTGCAGGAAACAAGGATAAATTGTGATATTCGTCTATTTTCTATGATCCTTGCTTGAATCGATTCATCTGTGCTTAGCCCTATGGGACTAGAAAAGCAACAACTTGTCAGTATTTCTCATAATAAAACTTTGACTTTGACCAGCTATGTCACTGTCACCCACGCATCCTCTTCCACCATCGCTTGCACAGTAGCAGTGTTATCCGCTGTGGTGGTCTACAGAGGTTGACCAAACCGCGTCTCACCATACAGGGAGTGCCCACCACGTTTGAATTCCGGAAACCACTTAAACACAATGCTTCTTGCAGGCGCATCATCATCAAAGGCAGCACGTAAACTATCAACACTGCTGCTGCTTTGACCCGCATTTGTAGTCGTAGAAAATCATCACTCTCCGATGACATCCGGTGAGTTAAATCCTTGCAGTCCGATCATAGTGGTGACCCTTTTGACTTATGAGTTGTGCTCGGCTGCTGATATTTGGTTCTGTAAGTTGCAGTCACTGAACAATACTCACAATAGATAACATTTCACGTTTACCTTGTCCGGTCATCTGCACTTCGTACGTGAATTGCGTAACCGGAAACGTTTTGCTCAACCCTCGTAAAGTGGTCTCCAGAGTTTCACAATGACCGTGAAACACACTAAAATTGGTATCCCATCTATCTACCATTTTCACGTGTTTCACTGTCTCTTCACTTTTTCACTTTGTTCTGTATCCCAATCCGCCTACACCCCCTATCATTGTTATTGTTATTATTAATGTTGGCGTTGGCACCATGCTTGTTTGCAAGCTGGCGTTGAATATATATATATATATCAGTGATCAAAAAGATCACTTTACTGGTCCTGCTGCATGTCCGACCAATGAATAAATATTCTGGAGATTAGTGTCCGTTACCTTTATCCATATCGCTTGTCTTTACCACGGGGTTGTGCTTCGTAAAATATTCATGTAAAATCGATCTTTTGCGTAGGCAAGGCTCATGCATACACTGGTGATTGGGATCCTTTAGAAAATAGGACTTGTTGACCGATGTGTAAAGATACTCCTACCAGTGGTAAAATATTGTCAACACAGTTAAAAAGGGCTTTATTTTGGGTAAATTACTTAGTTGCATGTTTACAATAAATGTCATTTGACTTTACCACTTTCTGTACTTATCAATTTAGTTTTGAAAAACGCTAGAATGATGTGGCCTGAATAATGCGATATCGCACAAATTTCTCTCTACTTCGCACGGGAAAAATTATGTATTGACAAATAGTGTGCGCCAGTCAGTTATCGATCAAGCATCCCACTTTTAAACAGAATGGATTTGTCTTAAATGATTCACACGATAGTTTAGGTAATCTAGGTATTTTTGCGCTCGTTTCCGCCTCGGCTATTTAGGTTTGTTATCCAGTTGAAAGTTTAATGGAACCTTGTTTTTCACCGAAAACTTTACAACACGGGGGAAAACGAAGACAGATCCCGAGAAACTCGTAAAAAACCATACGACGAATGGGGTTATTGTTCACATGCAGAACTATTTTTCTGTTCGCCTTATTTTGTTATCATCGCTACGCTAATCACTCACGTCCATTGTTATTGTTGTGGAAAAGAACAGTCCCCAACTGACAGTGGAAAGTAGATTCAATCAAGGCGACACCTTTACGCCTAGTATTCTTATCCTCAAAGCCCTTAAATAGTGTTTGGATCACGTGAAACTTGTAGAAATGGATACGGATATGCTTCCTTCTTAAACTGATAACAATGATAAGGTCATCATCAAGGGGGAACAAATCTAGAGTCTCTAAATGCTACTGGACATTGTGATTCGTCTCTCACACCTATCGACGTCGGAGTGAACGTTACATTGGACCATAGTTTACCGCTTGTACTAATACGCATCTTAATCGTGACCATGTCGAGCACGCACGACTGACTCCATGAAGCGTATTTGTAATTGTGATCAAATTGAACTCAGTATTCCCTTTCCTCGAAAAGCATCATTTTATATTATGCGATTTGTTATGCTAGTACAGTATTGATTATTATTGCTGGATTGTTGAAAGCAAAATTTGCATGATGTCCTTGAAACCCGCATGCGGTCCTGAGCAGATTTTGTTTGCAAACTACTTCCGCGGTTTTCGACTATCCATACAAGTTGTGTGTAACATTTTGCTAACCAGCAAACCAGAAGTGGCTCACATATCGCGAGAGGTGAGGAAACAACACTTGACAGTGAATCGAAGACTTCAGTTCGTCTAAAAAGCTCATATGAAACTGGAAACTGGAACAAATTACTTTAACACAATTCAACCTAGCCACATATTTTCACGTCAGTTTAGCCTGTAAGACATAAACAAAGTTGACATTCTAAACAAGGTATAGTAAATAGCAAGTGGATTGGTACCATCCTCGTTTACAATGCAGAATTTGGTGTTTAATGACAAAATCCCATTCTGTTAATATCGTAGTTATGAACCCTCCAAGTTGTTGATCTTATGGCCTGTTTTCTAACTAACCAAATGAGGCCCGTTTCGTTCCAGGGTAACTGTGGTGCGTACAAGTCACCTTACCGATCTGTAAATAACAAACGTCAATGTGTCAGAGACGGAACAGAAATTATCGGTATTTCAGGTTAACTCATCTGAACAGCTGATGTAAAATCTCAGTCTCAGTAAAATGTTCAGCTAAACCACCATCAACTTCCAAATTAGCTATTTTCCCATGACATTACTAACACTCCACTGTAAAACATTTTACATACCGATCGTAGTAATCACTGTTGTAGCAAAGTAAAAAGCGCCGGCAAATTTCCATTGAGTTCCAGCCTTGTACGGTTTCATGTGTATCCCCAATTGAGTGATTTCATCAAAATCCTCTTCGGACATGTTATACTTCCGTCTGAGCTGTTCAGCCAATTCGTGCAAACGACGATCCTCCTGACCTTCAAATTCCGATTCCAGGGCGTCAAACACAGCAGCTCCAAGTAATAAATATGTGAAAGTGACCACTATGAGCGAGAGAGTTCGGACATTTTGTCGTTTCATGCCTTCCTAAGCCCGAACCACATCCAGACCAGGGTAGCTGATGCTCCAGTCAGCCGATCGAACAATACACAATACATATGCTACTCAACACGGTTCGATGACTGTCGCCACAAAACACATGAGTAGGCCGAATTACTAATTTAACAAGGAGACCGGCATGTGAAACTCCTTACATTCAACACCTAGGGGTAACTACAGCCTCGTCAGTTGAGAGATTGAATGTATAAAATTCGTACGATCAGTCGGTCACAAAACATTCCCCCGATTCGCCCCGGTAAATAAGCGCGCGCCCTCACGCACGCGCAAACGATCATACGAACGCACCCGGCAGCCTACAGTGGACCAGATGTTTCGTTCGTGATGGTTTTCCTCGACCAATGGCCGGTAAGCTGTTTTGCAAGGTCAACCCAAGTAATCGATACGCATCCCAATCACTGATAGGATGGTTCAGTGACACTGACTTATGGCGTGCGCAAATCAAACCGCGTGTCCAGATTCCCTACATCCGGCCTGTAGCAGCAGCTGCAATGAACGACGAGAGATGGATAATCAGCGATCATAAAATCACTGTCAGTCAGTAGAAATCCACGGTGATGCAGTGATTAATGTTGAGTGTCCAGAAGTATCGTATGCGAAGTCACCAAAAAAAACAAAAATCTCTCTAAACCGTTTGGTCTTGGTTTGTGTATTTTTCATGCAACTAGATTGCATGCTGAGAGTATCCTTCTGCATCACACTGTAATAATTGCAAGATACATACCAAAAAACTTTACATTCAAAAAACGCGTTCATTTTATCACACTTCACCAATGAATGTTATATAGGGAAGCCAAAACACAGGTTTGCACAATGTCTCCTGGATCATTTCGCTGCATCTGTACACGTGAATACTGCGGTTTATGTGTTCATTAATATATACTCAGTAAATAACAGAACCATAGGCGGATAGAGATTTCAGTCAAAATTACTCACTAACACATTTGTTGTCCTTGCCCAGGATTTCTCTCAAAATACGCAACAAATATGTGTAGCGGTCAAGTACTTGGAGTTGGTTTCGCCAGCACTCCTTCAACAGTAATTTCCGTTAGCCATCT